AAAAATAATGCATCTTCGAACACATTATTTAGACCGTCTAGTTTCAAGATTTTCATATGTTTATAGATCTACTTGATGTTCAACATTTTTGGAGTTTAAAATTTTATAATTAGATACAAAAATAGATTTTTAGATATTCCTAATAATTTTTTACACAAAAATTATATGGTAGGATAAAATTTGGAGGTGCGCTTGAATTGGATTTTTTAAGGTTCCAACCATATGAAAACCACAACCAAAAATAAATTCTAAAACTTTAAAATAATAGTTTTATTAAAAAACTATTTGCGACCGTTAGTTTGCATTGTTTTTTGATGGACGACCTTTTTGCAAAAGATGGAAAAACTAAAAATGTAGTCTCCGCCGGATGAAACACTTTTCCTTCATAAAAAGAATAAAAAATAAGCTGGACACTTTACGCCCAATTTTACTCTGATCTGGAATCACATTACTCAGCGCAATTAAGATAAAGAACCTGTAATATCACAATAGATCTTCATAAATTCCCCAAAAAAGTCAAAAAACAAGAAGAATAAAGATAGCCCCCACTAAAGCTCATCTCAAACAAATTCATTTACATCTTCCAAGCAAAAATTTTACCATTAAAAACATTAAAAAATTTTAAAAAAATACTATAAAAACTATTTAACATTTTACCCATATTGCTTGATATAATTTTAAAATACCCATAACAAAATATCCATTATCATAAGCTAAAACAGCTCCCTATGTGTAAAATGTTCAATAATGCATAGACATTTTGATAATTTCCTCAAACAACATAAGAAAGCAAAAAAAATACCATACAAACATATTTTACATAAAGAAAAGCGAAAATTAATCATAAAAAGTCCAACAAAACCCAATAATTAATACCTAAACTCTATGAGTATATACTTAACATAAGAAAGCAAAAAATTACTACCTAAATTTTTTTTTTTAAAAAAAAAAACAAAGAAGAAGAAGCAAAAATGCACCATAAAAAGTCCAACAAAAGGCAATAATTAAAACCTAAATTTTTTTTTGGGTAAGTCGATGGAGGAAAAGGCCCCCTACCCGATTTTTCATTAATAGAAAAGGGATATAACGGTATGATACAATCCGATGGCAATTGCGTCAAATCATATAATAAAGTTATTATACAATCTTATAATATAATAGTTGCGTCGAATCATGTAGTAAAAAAAAAGAAGAGAAAGTCAGACAGACGACTACGCAATCAAAACCTAAACTTACTTGTAAGTACTTACAAGACCGCATATTTGACAGGAAAGAAGAGGAAAATTAAAGCCGTAATTAAGCGATAAAGGTGCAAACATCCAAACCCAAGCGTAAATGGCTACGAGTGTATGGAACTCGGAATAAGTTTTCGATGTTATGAGGGTGTAGTCGCAATTTTCGAACTTGTGATCCCAGTTTGAAATTACTCCATATGTCCAAAGGGATTTTCCAAAAAAGATAAATAAATAATGATTTTGTGGGAAAGGGAAAGGGAGTGATAGTATTTGTAGGGGAGAATGGTTGATCAAATTGTGTTATAAACTAGCATTAGAATTGACATGACATGCCTGATTAAATAGAAAGTTAATGCCAGCATGTATTCTTCCGTAGGGCCATATTGTACACTTCCTGCCATGGTGGAAGACTTGCTTCGCAGTTTTTTTTTTTTTTGAAAAATACCTTCGTAGATCTTATTTTTAAGTTTCATTTCTCCAGAAATTCAAAGTTTCAAAATCTATTTAACGGTATAGAGATTATGTCTATTATATTTTTAGGTTTTATTTCTCCATAGATCAAAAGTTTCAAAACATATCTAATGGTATAGAGATTGTGTTTATTGTATCTTCTAATACCCTGGAACAATTTTACCCATTTTTATTTCATCTTTTTAGCACCAACAAATTTAAAAAAAAACGTTTTTCTAAACCCAATGGTTCTCCTCTCTCTCTCCGTATTTCTTCTAACTCTTTCTCTCTCTCCTCGTGTCTATCCCAAATTTAGAGAGAGAGAGAGAGAAGAGTTTGGGAGATTCATGGGAGAAAGAAAGAGAAACACATCAAGAGAGAGAGGGTTTAGAAAGGATTTATTTTTAAAATTTGTTTGGACTAATAAAAATAGATAAAGTTAGTCTAGGGGGTTAAAAGATATAATACATAGAATACCTATACCAGAACATAGGTTTTGAAACATTGGGTTTATAGAGAAGTGAAATATAAAAATAGCGTCTAAAGATATATTTTCCCTTTTTTTCATCTAAAATTTTGGGAACCACCTAATAATCAATGGAAGATTATTTTCAAAACAGAAAGTTTAAATTTTGAGTTTTCGAACACTTGGATCTCACCCTCTAAAATTGGATGGTCTCTATTTAATCATGAGATATTATTTTTCTCAAGCCCATACAGAGTGCAATTTAGACATGTTAGTCTATGAGTTGAGGTATTTACGTCCTCATGAGTTGAAGTTCTAAAATTGGGTGTGGTTTGTATACGGTGTCAACCTTAAACAATTAAAGTTAAGCGCACCTTTGAACTTTATTGAGCGACACATTTTGGGTGTCAAATATCCCTATGATGGCAAAAAAAATCGTATTTCACCCTCTAGTTATGAAATGTAAAATTTTAAAAATAGTGAAGATTGATGAGATTTATAAATGCTTCAAAATCTTGAAAAAGATAGTCTAGATTATGTGTTACAAGATGTACGATTTTTAAAACTTAAAATCTTTTTCTTTTTTTTTTTCTATTATCTCCGTTGGGTGTTTGAGGAATATGACACACTTCTACCATATAAAGTTGATAGCGTGTATAAACTTTATCCTCTAAAAATAGTCCCACATTGAGTTTTGCCTAAGGAAGTAAACAGACATTATGATCCCACGGGAACATAAAATCTTAGAATATAAATACAGCATCACTTGTTTTTCATACACCATGTATCAATCAAAACAGTTGTTCAAAGTTTGATTGTGCATCAAACTTTATTTTGTCTTTCTCATCAAATAAAGTTTACGAAACCCATACAATACCAAACCCCATGATTGTATGGGTACAGAAAAATCAACCATAATAACCACTACCAACCGACCGGTACCTCAAAATAATAATAATAATAATAATAATAATAACAACATATATTATTTTGTATATGATATATATAGAGACTATTTACTTTTAATACAATGTTAAAATCCCTCACGTCTATTACAAATCAGGTGGTTGTGAGTTCAAAATTTAGTTGTGCATCAAATCAAATAGTTTTTCTTAATTAATGATAATAACATTTACCAACCATCATGACTTTGTGGTACAAAAAAATCAATGACAATAACGATTACCAACTGTCTTATACGTCTGCCCCTAGTTAAAAACATATAAAGAGGTCATTTACTTCTAGTACAATATTATAATCACTCAGATATGTCAAATATCATATAAAGTGGTTGTAATTTTACTATTGACTAGATTCAAATTTCAAAAAATATTTTTTAAACTTGATAATACACCCCAAACCGTCGAATTGTATATCTAATAGAAAGTAGTAATTTGTTACCTCCTTGTAACAAAGATAAATAGTCTCATAGTATATAATCCTATATGATATTTCCAAAATGGTGCAGTTTGTCTAAAATAGATTACTTGTAGAAGGTTACAATGTTTTAAACCATTCATTTTAGTTAGGGTTGCATGTTTAACATAATTTTCAGGTCACCATTAAAAAATGACATATCTTTTAAGATAGTTCCACTGCATCTAAACTAGACAGTGTAGATTGCAACCTTTCTTATATAAGTATGATTTCGACTTTATATAAAATTTTTCAATACAATATAAAGCATATGTGATCCCTATTCTCAACTGTTCAAACGGGATGGACAGTTGGATTGCTTGTATCATGATCTCATGCCAAAACACTTTTTTATTTTTAATCTTTTTTTTACATAGCATTTTTCAAGTGAAGTTCGGGGCATCCCTTCTTCTTATTGGGCTATACCTAGAAACAAAAAGTATTTCAGGTGAAAATAAATGACCAAAAAGGCTATGCAATTTTGAAGGGTATTCTAGTTATTTTTTGTCACCAAAATTATTTTTTATTATTTTTATCGTGTGCGTCTTTGTTAGATGTGTGCTAGCCTCAAATTTTGCTGCAAAATGATTTACAAAACAAAAACTAAAAGATAAAACATGTTGAGCCGTCAAATAAAGATTAGATGTTCAAAATCCAACTTGTGATATTGTCACTTAGGCCATTCTAGTCGTCTACTCAAATCGAACAATTGAGAGGGGGTCACTTTACTTTATATGTGCGGTGGCACCCCATGTAAAACTTCCCCATATTTTAGAAATGGATGAAAATAGAGGAAAAAGTTTATATATTTTTCTTTACTGTATAGAAGATATATACTCTCCTTTCTTTTTCCCCCACCACACCCCACTCTACCCCACCCCATCCATCCATCCAATTTTAATCAAGTGAGCCACGTACTATTTGATCTTGCAAATTATATGCATATAAAATTTGGTACATGCCATCATCTCAATCAAGCGTATCTAAAAAATATTTCGATAAAATAAAATGACAAGAATACCTCATAAATTTTTAAGGGAACTTTGGTCATTTTTTTTGTATTGGGAATATTTTATTTATGTTCTTTGAAGGTGCAAGTTTAAGATTAGAGTGGACGCCCAACTTTTGGTGTCGAATGTTTTGTATAGGGGAAATATATCTATTATATATTAAGTGCAAGCAACACCCTCCCTATTCTCTCACCACATGTCCCACCATATTAATAACTCTCTTTTTCTCTCTCTCCCCATATCTCTCATGTGATGCATATCATCTCTTACCCATCCCTTTTCTCTCTCATCCCATTCTCTCCCTTCCTCTCTTTCTTGTAATAAATCAATTTTTTAAAAATTTCTATCTTATTTTCTTTCTCCTAATAAATCTCTCTCCTCCCCTACGATTTTCTCTCTTCTCTATCCTCACCAATATTCACATGCATCTCCACTATCTATCTTTCCGAATGACTCTTTTAAATCTCTTTCCACCATATTTATCGCTCTCTCTCCCTCTCTTCCATAACGCCCTATTTCTCGATCCCTCTCTTTCCATAATGGAGTCTATTCTCTCTCTACACTCTCTTCCTCTTTATCCCATATTTCTCTCTTTCTCTCTTTCCATAATACCCTATTTCTCTCTTCCTCTCTTTCCATGGAGTCTATTCTCTCTCTACACACACTCCGTCTCTCCCATATTTCGATCGCTTCCTCTTTTTTGATAACGTTATATTTCTCTCTTTTCTTCTTTTCCTCTACCATTCTCTCTCTTCCTCCCCAGTTTCTCACTCTACCCCCTCTATCATGAAACACACTCTTTTTTCTCCTATTCTCTTCTCCATAACCTTAGATATTCATTGTAATGGCATTTTCAAGGTAAATACTCTTCTTTTTTTTAAGTATTTTTTTATTGCTTATTCTATCATTTTCAGTCTTTTCCATCACGTTCTCTTTTGTTTCTATGTAGTGTTAAGTTTTTTATTTAGATTATGTGGAATTGAGTTCTTTTTGTTTGTTTCTGTAGATCTTTCAGTGATCTACAAACTAAACCACCTTTCAGTTTCTTATTGCTTTTGCCTATATTTCGATCATTTTCATCATGTTCTCCTTAGTTTTTATGTGAAATTGATTTTTATTTTTTTGGAATATTATGTGAAATCGAGTTATTTTTTGTTTGTTTTTGTAGATGTTTGAGTGATCTATTGAAGCCCTAAAATGATTTGTTGATTGAAGCTCGGCAGATTAAATTGTTTCGAAATGATCTCAACAAATCTATTGTGAAAGCAGAATTATGGGTTTTCAAGTTACGTAATATTCCATTTTCTCTGCATTATTTTTTCCTACATTTTCGATGTTTTCCATCACGTTCTTCTTAATTTCTATGTGGAGTTTTTTTTTATTTTAACATTATGTGGAATTGAGTTCTTTTTGTTTGTTGTTGTGAATCTTTCGATGATCGACAATGTAAATAACCTTCTGTTTTCTCTACATTTCTATGCATTTCTTCATCGCTTTTGCTACATTTCGATCATTTCTATCGTGTTCTCCTTAGTTTATATGTGGAATTGATTTTTATTTGTTTAGAATATTATATGAAATCGCTTTATTTTTGTTTGCTTTTGTAGATATTTGAGTGATCTATAGAAGCCCTAAAATAATTTGTTGATTGAGGCTATGTAGATCAAGTTGTTTCGATGTGTTCTCAACTGAACTACTATGGCAACAGAATTTTGGGTTTTCAAAGTAAGTAATCTTTTGTTTTCTCTGCATTTCTATACATATCTTCATTATTTTTTTATACATTTTTTATCCTTTCCATCATGTTCTCCTTAGTTCAAAGTGGAGTTGAGGTGTTTTATTAATAATAATAATAATAATAATAATAATAATATATTATTATTATTATTATTATTATTATTATTATTAATTGTGTAGTAGTAGTTTATTTTTAGTTTAATTATTAATTAGTTAGTAAGTAAGTAAGTTAAGTTTTAGTTTAGTTAGTATATAGTAAGACCGTAACCT